TGCTTGAAACTCCTTTTCGTGACTTTCTGGAGTGCATATCCTGTAGCAAATAGATATTGCTAGTATGCACCGGTCTTCATTTACTAGCCTGAACAAGTGCTGACAGATGAGGGAGCTGACAGTCTGCCCTACTGTTGAAGCTGGAAGATATAGTTACATGTGAATTTGCTGCCTTTTTAGATCTGAATAACTGCAATTGTGTATAAGGGTCACCTCTGGTCTCAGTTATCATTCTGAAGAAAAAATGGAGGCTTTTAAAAAAATATTCATACATTTTTCGCCTTCTGCTAAGTGATGCCCAAGGAATGCATGGCCTTGGAAAGTCAAGTTTTCACAAAGTGACACAAAAAAAAATTACACTAATGCTATTAATACGGCAAGCAGAGATGTTAGGTATAATTATTATCCAAATTAAACCACTGCTATTTTTTCCAATAGCAATGGCTCTTAAATCAGTCTCTCCCTCCCTGTCTGTCTGCCTGCCTGTCTGTCCCAAAGATTTTTGCACCATATTATCCAATTATATGTGTCACTGTCAACTTGTCCATTAGGAGTCTGCTCCTCTACTGTCTTCAGTAGTACTAATCATGCTCTGGCAAATATAAGACAGTCTATAATCCCACACCACTGCTAGCTCTTAAGAATTTTGTGATAGTGGTTTGTCATAACAGTATAAAAAATTACAGAGGACAAACAAAACTGCTCTGCACTCCATAGTTCTGTTTTCAGGTATATGATGTCTTAGAAATCTTTGTTTTGGGTTAAAACTCTTTTTCATTTCCTTATATCAGTTTAAAATCAAAATTTCAAAGCCTTAGTAAGCACCTTGTAATTTAACTTGTTAAACAAAGTATCTTCCTGCTGACTGTAAGCTCTTATTGGGATGAATTGGAAGCGTAGTAGAAAAAAATATTCAGTATTTTCTCTGACTCCCCTTAGCTTCACAGCAAGAAGCAGTAGACTCTAGGTGTTCATTGAATGGTGACCAACTGCATCTCTTAATTTTATTTTGTCTCTTAAAGTCTTTTACACTTAAGGTTTCTTTCTTTTTCTACATTTCAAATATTGCTAATTATTAGTTCAGCATATTATTCCTTCTAGTGGAATGGATTCCCATTCTACTAAAGGTGCACTACCAGAGGTGCTTTGTTAGAGTATTTTCTGGAAGCCTTTTCAAATCTTTTGGAATTGTTGTTTCTGAGATCATTCTACTCAGTGCAGAAAATAGTCATATGCATCTAATTATCTAGGCAGGCTGGTACCTATTGTATCAGCATACACACAAAAATGGTTTATTTTAGCCTTTTAAAGATTTATACCTAAGAACTTCTACTACACAGAGTTTATCTATTCAAATCTGCTCTGGCTGCTGCTTTGGTAATAGTCACAGAGAATGGTCTTATTAGCATTATGTTAAGGAAACCTACCAGAAGGAAGACAAACTGCTGCCCCGATCTCATTCTTGTTTGTTATGGACATGCATAGTCAGCCAGAAACATTTTTTTCAAGAAAATTATTTTTGTTTTTAATGATGGATGTCTTTTCTATCCTATAAAATTCTAACGTAACTGAAGAACTGATAAAAAGATCACAGGAAGGAAAGTTGAAAACATAGGAGATTTATAGACATACTCTTTAAAACTGTTTTGCTTTTATTTCTTGTTAATACCCATCTAGCACAACAACTAATTAACATTCTGTATAAAACACAGCATAATTAAGGCTTCACTACACTCATAGACACCTTTCAATTAAGGTGCTTGAGTTCACACAAAACATGCTTTCCAATCCTCAGAAAAAGCTTTTAAGAAAACCAGTTGAATCTTGACAAATTTATTTTAAATAAAAGGAGAGAGACTTTTCAAAGTTTGTTTGGGCCCTTTTAAAAAAAAAAAAAAGGAAACAACCCCCCACCAGTAATATATAGAAACAGCTTTGAGACCTTTTGCAAAAAGAAGCAAGAACTCTGGAAATGCCCAATTTTTAAAAGTCTCAGGACAATCTCCAAAGTTTTCTACCTTTTTTAGAAATAGTGCTTTTCAGATGCTAGTATTTTCACTGGTATTTCCTCATTCTACATAGTTTTGTACTGAATTTGAACTGCTTAACATTTTTTATTGAGGAGTGAAGTAGGTCTGGCTTAAGACCTGAAAAAATTACGGCCTGTCAAGCCAGTGGAACAAACTGCTGTCTTGGAATCAATTCTTAGATCCCCAAAATTTTTGTACCCTGTTTTTCTTGTTATCAACTAGTTGACATACCTTTCTTGTGCTGCAGTGCCAGACTAATGATATTTTGTTATGAATTCATTGTAAAATGGATTTCAGTAACATGTAAGTGAAGTTAAAATGGAATACTAGTGCAATTTTATGTTTCTTTCTGTGGAATACTAAAAGTATTACTCAAATTCAATGCAAAAAAAAAAAAAGTATTTCCATGTACTTCGCTTTCTGTCTTTTCTAGCTTTTGTCCAAGCTAAACTTTCTTTCCCCTCCTTCTGTTTTGGTGGGGGGTTTTTGGTGAGTTTTTTGTTTGGTTGGTTAGTTGGGTTTTTTTTGTTTTGTTTTTGTTTGTTTATTTTGGGTTTTGTTTGGGGGGGTTTTTTTGTTTTTTTTTTTACTTAGATAAAGTGTCTTCCTAAGGACTACTCATGGCTTCAAAAAAAATGAAAGTAATCTAGAGTTCACTTACAGATCAAGTACCACAAGCTGCTGGTTTTAGTTTATTAATGCTTTCCAACTCATTTCCTACTTCCCTGCCAAAAGCAGTCTTTAGTGGACTGTAAAGTTTTTAAATAATAGACATCTGATCCAAGTTTCTTATGATTTTTCTTTTCAAGAGATCACATACTTTCAGAAATCTGGTAAAATTTTATTGTAGTATAAAAATGTGCTATTTACACTGGGTGCTAAGGGTTGTGAACTTATTAGCCTTTTAACATCCGTTAAAAAATTCATTTCCTCATTCCGAGAGATTAATCTTTACTTTAATACACATATTCATATGATGTTATGTCAGAAGAAAAGATTGCTGAACTCTCCACTCACAAATAACAGTATCTGATATCAAAATGGTTGTGACCTTTTTAAAAAAAAGTGCTCTTTTGAAGTACAATGCAGGACTGTAAAAAATTGTCATGAATTTAATGGGCTTGACAGCAGCATTTGCATCTCTAAATGAAGGATCTCTTTGATCGTGTATGACTCCCAAAAAAAGAGGCAGACCATCTATTTGTGATCAAAGATCTTATGGATGAGATGCAAGTTTATACTCCCCCAAACATACACTTGACAGACTCTCAAATTGGGGTCTCAGCACAAGTTGCCCCCTCCTCCTCTAACCAAATTGTGATTTCACAGAAGACTGGCGTCAGGAACAACAAATGTAGAGGGAACCTTCTGAACATAAGTCAGTCTTTAACAACTCATAGAGGCTTGGGCTCTTTGGTCTGTCACAATTATGTAACCACAGAATTTTTTTGGTGGTTTTGGGTTTTGTGACAATTTGTAGGACATCTATGCTATAAAACAACATTAACCTCAATGTCATTTGTGGTACTGTTGACATCTATAAACTGGCCTAGCAGGGAAGCTTAGAGCAGGGCTAGACATTTCTGCAATCAACAATCTGTTCTGTGCTTTTGATTAAAATTTAATAAAAGTGTTCAGTGAGGTGAAAACTTGCACATAGCAGGTGAGGAAAGATCAACATTTACACAGCCCAAATCTAATCCAGCCACTTTTTCCTCTTCTCATATTCCCCATTCATACAGAGTGTCCCATCTATTCCTGAAACCTAACAGGGAGCACGACATGGTCTCTAACTCAGGAAAGAGGATTAAAAAAAAATAGTTTCTATTTGTAGGACCTGTGGAACCTAAAACTCTATCTGCATCCCTACACCACTCGCAGCTCACCTACTTAAGCCAGAGGTTTTTCTTTGTCTGCAAGGATATAAAATTCCAGTGGGGTCACTGTGAATCCTTTTTGAAAATTCACCACTGTAAAATATAAAAAGGCAGAATTCAGTGATGATCAACTCAAGCCAAAATAAACCAACAAATCAACATTGCAAAGTCCCAACGTGACTGTGGAGTTCAGGCTATGTAAACTGTTTAGACCAGAAAAACTCTGAAACTCTCAGGATACTCTTTAGTGATTAGGAAATGGTGCTGGTGAAATTATCACATTAACATTTTACGGGAATACAGAGGAAGGACAAGAAAAGTGAGAAAGAAAGGGAAGCTTCAGGCAGATTTTTTCACTATGCACTCTGAAAGCATTGCATCATCCCTAGAACCAGGACTGTATCTTGATGGGCTAAAGTCTTCATGAAGCAATAAAGTAAAGTAGAAATTAACAAAGCCTGTGGTTTAAGTACTGATTTTATATTGTAATTTTAGATTGGATGAATTAATACAGTGTAAATGTCTTGGTTGATGCAGACTGCTAAATATACCTGGTTGGTAAGGCACTATAAAGCTGTCCTGCTTCCCCCTGAGACATTTGAAAGGCCAGGATTTTAGCAATGAGACACTGGCCTTCAAAAGTCTTCCATCATAAACATATGAAGCAGTCCAGCATGGAAGGTCAATCATCAATCACTGTTACACTGTCCTTCCTGTGTAGCACAAGCAACTTCATAGCACAGACTGTTTCATAAGCATCCAAATTCATTCACATTGGGTTTGTGGGTTATGTCATAGAAATACACGGCTTTAGTCAACGTGTGCTGTGATGAATCACAGAATCATTTAGGTTGCAAAAGGTACTTAAGATCATCAAGTCCAACCATTAACCCAGCACTGTCAAGTCCACCACTAAACCATGTACTGCAGTGCCACATCTACATTTCTTTTAAATCCCTCTGGGGAGGTACAAACTGTGACTCTGCTGAATATCTTCTATATTTCAAATTTTTTCTTTTCAGGTTAGTTGAATAATTAATTGTAATACTACATTATAACTGCGTGGAGTTCAATTTTCATTTTCATGTTACAGAAAGGTGAGATGGATTTAAGCCTGAAGATCTGTTTGGCATTAAGGTGGGTCTTTTTTAAAGGACAATTTACCCCATAGTAGAACTCATCTAATAAAGAGAAAGTGCACTGGTCCAAAATACTCTGAGCAGATAAACACTCCCAACTTTTCCAGTGAAGTAAGGATGTGTTTTTTTTCGCAGTACACATCATTGTTAAATATTTGGCCAATCATTTTTAATGGCCCATAGAACTTCCAGTCATATTTTCAAAATGGTCTGTTATTCTTGTAATCAACTCCTAATAAATCTTTAATGTTTTCTAATAGTTACGGAAAGTGTTGAAATACGAAGAGTAAATAATTCATTCAAGATTCTGCCATATTTACTCATATTGGGTAAAAAAAAAGAAACATAAAATGACTTAAAAAATCTATTTGGAGCAACTAGCTAATTTTGGTTTCAGATATAAGCACTCATCTTGGCAAAAAGGCAAGTTTTATTGTTTCCATTTTTTTCTGTTGTTTAAAGTAAAAAATTAACCTGAAATAAATATTTTTCTTATAGTTTAAAAAAAACCAACTTATCCTACAGAGCTGAGATTTATAGTCCATTCTAAATTTTGATCTAATAATAACGAATGATTAAAAAAATAATCTTGCATAAGAACTAAAAGTTCTTTATCAAAGAACTTAGACTGCACATATGTTAAATTAATATTCAAATGATTGTCTAAGAAAAACAAAAAGCACATAAAAGCACTCTTTCAAAACTACATTTTCTATTACCTTGTCCATGCAAAAATATTTCAAGGGATCACATGAAAAACTAATTCACTTTTTCAGATTACCCATGTAACTAAAGAGTGATGAAAACTGATTCATTTGTCTCAGGTATTTTTTTTCCCCTACTAATCTCGGATTCAGAAAGAATAGTAGACTGTTTTGACTGTGCTCTGCCTTCTTTTATTTTGTTGGGTGTATTCATAATAGTTTGTTTTTCTTTCCAAAGTCTATCAAATGGAGTGTGCTATGTGTAAAACAAAAAGAAAGTAGACTTAGTATGGACCATAAAAATGTAAAGTTTTGTGCTTATTGGACAAGCACAGGCACATTCTAGATCCTGAATTCTGGGAATTGTAGTAAAATTGTCATTTTCAGTACAAAATGTTATAATTAGAATTACCTCTAGATGGCTTTTTTATTTTCTTTCTTTTCTTGTTTTTTGTGGTTTTTTTTTTTTTTAAATAGAATTGATACTGTACAAGCCCTTGTGAATTATGTGCATGGTAAGTTCTGATACCTGAGACACAACTATTCTGAGGTCAAAAAATGGTGCTGAGAATTAGATTTTTCTTTCTCTTTTACTACTAGGTAACAAGTTTTGCTCCTTTTTTGAGAAATAAAATAATTTTCTCTCTACCAAATGATGTTGGACCAGCAATTTATTGGTATTATTGAAGAACTCTAGAGTGCTAGTACTAAATTAGGACCACATCATGCTAGGATCTGCACATCCTTGAACTTAAAATTAAATCATTCCCAGAAGACAGGAAAAATATTTTTTCCTTTTTCAGTAGCTTACTGAACAATTACGTTACTGGTTTTAATCTGTGCTCTTGTAAATAAAGTGTGAAGTATTCTAATCACTTGGGCATAGTAAAATGGGAGGTTCTATGGCAATAGAATAGCATGGCTTTTATAAAGATTGAGTTCATCCCTAAAAGTACATTTATATTTCTCATCTTTTTAGACCAAACAATGGCATAAAATCCCTATAGCAGATATATATAATGAAGTACAGAAAATGAATGATGAATAATAAATCATGTCTTGTATGTTCTCTTTTGGAAAGGATTTGCATTAAACAACATTCTTGACTTGTCATTCAAAATTAAAACTAAATCTGCCTTCCCAATATAATATTTACAAAGAGAATGCTTCTTGCCTGTTCTTCCACTATGCATAGTAGAGTATTGTACACGTATCTTTCTGGAATGAGGCAGGTAAAGTCATCCAGCTAGATCTATCATCTGCTGGTTTTGTTGTTGTTATTTTCTATAGAAAATCTCCATAATTTATGTCATTCTTTACCAAGGAGTGATTGTTGGCACACTTTTATGTGTTGCACATGATCTGAAGAAATTAACAAAAAATAATAAATAAATAAATACAGTTTGTACCTTATTATCTGGTAGTTCCAGAGAGCCTACACCATCATTTAACCATTGTTGACATTGAAAATAGAAAGCAAAGCATTTGAAAAGTTAAGGACAGAAAAAATCCCTATTGTTTAATGTTCATATCATGCAAATGTGTGGATTATCTCATTTATAGAATTATGAATGGCATTAATATTGGCCTTTCACATTTGAAAAGTCTTCACAGAAAGATTAAAATAAAACCAAATTATTTGTGTTTTGCTGAGCTGAGGAGTATGTAGTAAAAGAGACCACAAATCAGTTGGAGCTTCAGGATTAATTATATGATTAGAACCTAATTCAAGCCATCCAGCTCTGTCTCCAATGTACAGATAGCAAAGTCTCTCTTCAAGATGGTCCAAATTCTCAAAAGAAATTCTTTCACTTTCAGTGTTCTCCAACATACAGCAAATAAGTCTGCCTACATGACGTAGAATTTGACACAGAGCATGTAATCTGATTCTAAACACAAAAGTAAGTTTTAGTCTCAAAACCAGGAGAAAACTACTTCTTCAGAGGAACGTACGTTTATGTTTTAGTCTGTCTTTTCTATAATTGTCATGGGCCACGGTGAATCTAGTGCCATGGTGCTGCCTTCTCAATTCATGCTGACAGTTGATAGAGTTCTTTCTTTTCTGATCTTACTTATGAGTTTTTCAGCAACAAATAAAAATATTCCAAATGGTATTTAAATCAGATAACAAAAAGGACTGTTTTATTTCTACCCTTACCCTTAGATATCATTACTGTTTGATTAGGATCTGACCACTTAGATGATCATAAATCCGAGCAGTCGTAAGCAAACAACTGATCTGATATAGTCTTAATTGAGCTACTGGGGTACTGTAGGACGAAACATGGCACTTCCAGGTTCTGAATTGCTTTTATTGTCTTTTGCTTTAATGCTTAAAAGTGTAGGAATAATTTTGAAGGTTTTTCTTTCTTACTCAGAAGCCTTATAGCAGCAGTTTTGTGATGTGAACCACAAAAGAGAAAGAACAAAGGTTACAGGTAATTATTTCTTTTTCAGTTGACTCTGTATTTGAGATGGTTTTGGCTATTTCATTTTGCAGGGGTAAAAATAAAGACCAGGGCCCAATTTAGTTTTTGTTCTAAAATACTTTGCACTTCTGTTCATTCCCTATAATATGTTTTAAGGTAGTTGTCAACCACAATTTTGTGGACACTACCACAAAATGCTTATACAAGTATTTATATATACATGTAAAGTAGAAGTTTCAATTTAAATAGTATCTCAGAAAGCAAATAAAACAGCATCTTTTATCCAGCTATATTTACAGAAATGCATGTTCTTTGTTCTCTAAATTGCTTAGGTATACCTAAACAGAGTCTGACTTGGGATCATGTTGGGTATGTTCACCTGGTCTCATGTGGTCTAATTTTGTTAATCTCAGTCAAACTAAACATTACTCAGAAAGGAATGTCTACAATACATACTGAAAAGCACAGCTCAACATAATAAAGCCAGTAAAATCACAGTCTAATTTATGCTTACATTTTGATGCCAACTAAGCATTCATCTGTATTTGAGCTATTACATGGATTGTCTTCATAACTGATGGTGTGAAAGAAAGGCTTCTAGGGCACAGTTCTTCTCCTACAGCAGTCATCTAAAATTAGCCAAATGAGTCATGGCCTTGAAGTGCCTCTCTTTACTGACTACAGAGAGAGTCTAGATAACTAGCTGAGATGTGAAAGTCTATACAGTAGTTGTCTAAAGTTAACAGATATGTCCCACTCATAGTGATTTCACATTGGCATAGGTGTCTCTACACCACTCTTTGGGATTGATCAATTTAGTTCAATTTCACAATTGCATCAATTCAGGTGAGTTTTAAAACAGACCCGCTAAAATGGTGCGATGCCTATTTGTCAATATGGCAGATAGATTTCATGACACTTCAGCCTAACTTAATGGGGAAACAGATTAAGATGAAATGAGTGGAGTTCATACTGAATTAGCTAATTAATTTAGTTTCTTAAAATTCAAAAGTAGGCTTACAGAGGAGAAAATGCCTTTTTTTTTTTTTTTTAATTAACAAGGGGAAAATTGCTCAGTACACCTCTATCTAGGCATCTGAATCTTTCATGTGGATATCTGTGCCTGGGTGTAGGCAGGTCTAATGAGATGTTTGAAAGTCTAAATTGTAAAACTATAGAAAGAGTTCAAGTTTGGCCTTGGTAGTTCTCATGATAACGATTCAATTAAAGACTGAAGGTGAAAGTCTATACTTACTAATTTCAACTGGGATTTGGACACTGATTTTGAAGGGACCATAGCATTATGCTAAGTCCCTGATTTGTGATACTAGATTGTGTGTCAGATTTAGTCACTCTGCAGTTTTGGATTATGTCAATGAGGATGTCAGATAATGTAAACAGATCTATTGCACTTGAAATCAGTGGAGTCACTTTGATTTACATCAGCTGGTAACCCAACCAGGGATGCTTACAATGGCATCCCAACTTCAGCTATTTAAATGAAGGTCAAGGATGTAACTTCCTCATTATTCCTTGTAACTTCCTTTTGCTTCTGCTGATCTTTTGCACACTGATTATTTCAACAGTATCAGAAACCAGACACCTATTCAATTTAGATCTCTGATTCACTTGAGATTTGGTTGTTAACACGTTGGTGCATTAATTAAAATGTACTCAGTTTACATCTGGGTGCACTCAGCCACACTGAAATAACTCACAGGAGACAAATTTCTTTTGTAAATGAAGATGATTGCTGCGCAGCCATCATCTGCATGCTTGCTTGCATGCTTGCAGATGTGGCAAGCTTCAGTTTGTCGCTCATATTGTTAATGATTTTGGAGTGCATGTTTACACAGAAAACATAAAGAGAATTCATTGCACCTTCCTATATGTTACTGAATGACCAATAGCCTTGTAGTATCTGAATGTCTCTTTTTTTTTGTAATACTATACACAAAAATGAGTGTTATTGTCATCTAATATGAAATAAAACTGCAACTTTACTGATCCCAAGGTTTCCACCATATGAATATTTCTACCATATAGTGCAGAAAACAAGTATTCTTTCCGTACTTCAAGTGCCTGCTCTGTAGACCTGAAAATACTATACATTTGAAAACCAAGCATGAACTGAAATAGTAATAATCCATCTTATAAAGTCTCTCTTTAAGTGAGCAGAAAATAAGAAAGGTGACTCAACTGCAATTATAACAGAATTTTGATAAAAAACACACAATATAACTTACACCATGTTTTTGGAAAGTTCTCAAGAATGTCAAACAGTTTTTGCTCATATTTCCTCCTGGGACTGTTGTTTATAGCTTGCTTTCTGCTCTCCTCCTTTGCTTATGTATTATTACTCCATATTTATCACTCTCTACACTTCTGCCCAAAGAAGTATAGGAAGTACTGTATTTCAGATCACAGTCTGCAACTAGACATTTGTTTTAGCATTCCAAAAGAAGTAAAATTTCATCAAATTTCTCAGAAGGTGAAGTTAAACTGGAAAGACATAATTTTCATTTTCTTAATTTAATTTCATTTTCTAGGGGAAAGTTGCAGACAGTTGCTTCTAGCACACAGCTAATGAGGAAGAAAAAAAACAGATCATTTCAATTTTTTAGATTCAGATTTATTTTTTATCAATCCCTTTTTTCATTGCAATTTGCACAATGATTTAAACTTGCTGAACAATTAAAGTTTAATTTTTAAAAATATTACTATTATATAAACTGCATCTTAGCATATAGGCATGCAAGTTCCCACTTAATAGGACAGAGAAGATGAGAACATGTTATATTACTTTTCAGAGTAAGGCCTAATATCTGTGGATAGGCCTGTGCCTAAATCAATAGGCACATAGAGTTTTGTTGGATTGAAATTTATTCTAGTATTTTCAACTTTCAGATTTTTAACATCCAAAACCAATTTATATTATTTCTTGTGTTTGTATGAATCTATGTACATTTCATCCAAATTTCTTTTTCTTGTCATCTATGCCTTCTAAACAATTCCACTAGAAGATATCCATTGCATATGAACTGAACAAAGGCATTCTGACAGCAGTAGGGTACAGACTTTACACT